ACGACGCGCACCAACCACATCAACAACAACAACAACAACAACAACAACAACAACCACGACGACGACGACGACGACGACGACGACGACGACGACGACGACGACGACGACGACAACGACAACCACAACAACAACGACAACGACCACCACAACAACAACAACAACAACAACAACAACAACAACAACAACAGCCGCAGCAGCAGCAGCAGCAAACACTGCGGCCCAAAAAGTCCGCCGATTCACAGCACCACATCATCTCACATGCCACGCCATACTGGCCAGAACCTTGGCTAAGACTGCCCATGTATTTCGTTGGAACATCTCAGCCAAGGTCGGAGGAATGAAAAGAGTGTGTCGACCTTCTTCTCCAAGGGAACAACCATGTAGATCTGCCTGCTCGGAGTTGTCTGTCCCCTCGCCAACTAGTGCTGCCCTCTCACCGGATCTCACTGAGAATCACGCTTCAGAGTTTCAGGAGTTCGACTTTTCGCATTGTGGTGCACCGAGACCACCTACTTGCATCAAACCGAGAATATTTGTGAGGCAGCAGCGCAGCTCTGATACTTCTGGGCGATTGTGGGCGATTGTGGACGAATAGAGTCGCGATGACGTCGGATGTATGCTTTCTGCACCCTTTTGGCTTCCTTACTGTGCAATATGGTGCACCAATCTATCTAATCAAGTGAAATGAGGGCAGTACTGTAAGATGAAAGAGGCTGTGCATCAGCTCTACAGCACAGCGCATGTCCCAATGAGTCATGAAAGCTGCCTCTGGCGATCGCAATGCAGCCCTCCCCAGCTTGTGCACGCTGCTGTGCAAAGTGGCTGAGAATAGCAGCCTGTATGCTGCCCCAGTCCGCAGTTCAAGCCAGCAAGCGTCCTTTAGTCACACAAGCTCGGCGCGTCACGTCTGGCGCTGTGTGGGCAAGTGCCCCAGTATGTTGTGGATCGTCTCCTTTCTTACAGCCCGCTGGGGATGCTTGGGCGCATGCGCATACTTGTTTCCAGTTCTGCCTGGAAGCCGAAGTCTAGAATCCGATCGGCTTCATCTATGACCTGATGGGAATATCGCACCGTCTCCGCTTGAACAGGGTCAATGCAACGCACATTGCGGGTCAACATTAACATTGGTCAGGATGACCAGCATCAGCAACGCAGACGAATCGAAACCAGGTGACTCATCCAAGTGCTGAAGAAGCCTGCTGCAAACCCTAGGAGTGCTCAGCTGCTGCTGCTCTCCTGAATGCTTGCAAGAGCTGCCTTCCTGGTGTCGCCACCAGTACGCTCATGTTTGAAACTGCCTGCTGTTCCTCGCAGATAGGGCGAACCGTTAGGTTGCGTTTCAACTGATCCGGAGCACCTCTGAAAGCGAACGGCCACCAACGATACAGCCCGCTGAGATCTCGTGCTCCTGGCCTACGTTGATGAGGACCTTGTGTAACTTTCAAGCTGCTGCAGGTTACATCTCAAAGTTCCTCTCGGCTGAAGAACCCAGAACGGCAAGGCTCGCGTCAGCTGGAACCCTATTTCTCAACATGGCCCGAGATTTCATGCCAAGGCCAGGTCCTGATATATTTGGTATGCAAGCTCCCGTGTTGGAGAGACCTGATCTCTGGTAGCGCGGCAAAGGTAGCAACATCAACATGCAGCCATGGCCCGGACAATCACAGCTCCGAGACCATCCATCTTGGACCAATTCTGCCTGAATCGGCTCAGATCATTCACCACTCAGAAAATGCAGCGCAAGACCTGCAAAAATGCGCAATGATGTGCAGCTGCAAAGAAATGACTGCGCCTGTATAGGCACTCAACGGTCGGCACGAGAAATGCCAACGTTTTGCCGGAGCCCGTACGGGCTTCGCCTAATATGTCTCGGCCTGGTTCCACAAAAAAAGCTGCTAATTGTCTGTTGAACTGTAAGGAATAGCATCGCTCTTCACGGTCTGAGTCGGTCGCTGAGCATCAAGGCTACAAAACCACGCAGTTTGGATTCATACTGCTTGCTACCTCTGCACATAGGCCAAATGCCAGAATTGCTTCCAGGGGCCCGGCCAAAAAGTGCAAGAGGAATGGCTCCACTTTGAATTTCTGTCATCTTCGTGTACTTTGAGGCCTGCGAGCTGATAGGCAAATGCTGACTTGTTTGATCACTTGCGGCAGCGGCAGGCCTCCAAGCCACGAAGCGTGCGCTGGGAGATGGGCAAGTCGCGGAAGAGGCGGCCGGTGAGGGCTGGCCCCTGTCGCTACGTAGCACTTTGGACTGCAAAGAGGTCTGATGGCTACTTCCTCCGCTGCGCCTGTCCCGTTTTTGCAGCACTCTTGCTCGCGGCATTAATGCGGGAGCCACACTCCGAACGAATTCGCGCTTGAAGAGATCTGATCTCATCGTCCTGCAAGCTGCTGCACCAAAACAATTGGACACGTTCTGAGACAAGACCAGGACACAGAGCATACTTGAATCTTTGGCCCTCATGCTGCCGCGTCGGACATTGCATACCCAACCACTTGCACATGACACGCCTCGCTTGAGCGTCCGCCAAGCTTCTTGCGCTGGACCTGCCACGCAAGCGTATTCTGTTTGAAACGCGTGCCGGCCAAGTTGTGCCTTGCGGGTGGACTTGACATTGCCATTGCCGACTCTAGGTGCCATGCAGGGATCCCAACACGTTAGTCTTGCACGCGGCAACTAGACTCGGATAGCTGTAAGAATTCGAGATACCGAGAACCGGTCGAATTTCAGTACTAGGACCCCTACAAGCTGCTGCGAGGGAAACTCTCAAGACTCATGAAGCCTCACGGCCTAGATGATCCTAGATGGTAGCATCACTTCAGACAGCATCAAAACAATCATTTAGCATCTTGTATTAAGCTAGCAGCTAGGAAGAAGAGAGCTTCCTGCAAATGGCGTACGCCTACTCTGGATCTGTATCTCACGACAAAAAAGAGCCTTCAGCCTGCATCACTTGCTGGATCGGGATGGATGAGCTCGGACCGACGCAACTTTGGACTTTGATCAAGGTGCCCGTTTTGTTAAGCAAGAGATGAACTGTCAAGCGAATCAATTGTCTCGGTCTTAGCCTGCCTTTTGGCTCAGGCTCTACAATGTGCTGCTGCCCTGCCTCCACGCTGGAAGAGATGCAGAAAAAAAGCCTGTTTTCTGAAACCTTTGGCTCTTTCAGCGTGGGCCCACAGGACAACATCAAAAATGGAAAATGGTCTCTTCATACGCAATTGATTGTTGAAACTTCGTAACTGAGTGCCTGGTGTGCCAACAATCTGATGAAATGCGCCATGCATGTCAATGTGTTGCTGGGACAACCAGGGTCCACAATCGTAGAAGTCACATTGGGCTCCTTCTGCATGACCTGCAGTGCGGCGGGGCAACTGTTTCCATCGATACAGTACCCCCCCCAATCCCTCTGGGTTGGCTGCAGCATTGCCGAGCACGGTGATGGGAATCTCCGAGCCTTTCCGCTTTGGCTGCCGCGCCTCCAAGTCTTTAAAGGGTAGCTGAGCAGATATCAAGACAAGCCAATGAGCAGGCATGAAATCCACGTTCTATCAAACAGCTTACCTGAAATTATCACTCTTGATCCATGCATTAAGTGGGATGCTGGGAGCTTCGACCGCAAAGCAAGCTTTAAGAAAGTGTCTGCACTGCCCGCTTCATGCTCGGCCTGTTTGCGGCCTGTCCGCATCGCGGATGCAATGAAGATGCTTTAAGCCAAATGTCGCGGAGCAATCTTTAGGAAGCAGTCGCAACATGGCAATCGTAACGCAGTGCCTGCTGGCTGCGACGACAGCTGGACTACCAAATCGGACTTTTAACATGCAAGCTGAATTGCTTTCTTTTGCTATTTACTGTCTCTGCTCCACGGCTGTTTCACTGCAACTGGAGCACCGACAGCGGCCTACTCTGCCAGTCGCAGATCGCAGACCATCCACAACCTAAGATCTCTAAGCTTTTTCTTGGCCACCCTGCTGCCGCAGCACTGTTCCAATGCAAGCTGTGGACCTGTGCATCACTTCACATCGAAGCCCTCTGCACGCAAGCATTGCTTGTGCGCTTCGATGAAGGCTTTGCACTTGTCTTCGCCGTTCATGGTAATGCACTCGTCCCGAGCGGCCTCATGAGATGGTTACACATGCAATCATGCTTTGCAACAGAACATGTGCTAGCTGTGCTAGCTGTGCTAGTCCTAGTGCTGTCTTGGCATGTGCACGGGGACTTTCGATCGGGCCAGCCCAATAGCCTGCGGAGTATGATCAAGAGCTTCGAGGACAGGGTGGTGGGAAGAAAGCGTCAACAGCCGCATGAAAAATGTCCGCTCCTGATGACCCACGGGGGAGAAAAGAGGACCAATGATGCTTCGCGACTTAGCACATACCGAAACCTGTAAGCAACGAAACGGAGAGCCAATGATGCTGCTGACGCTTGCCCGCCTCCCCTCACCGTCCTGCTTAGATCACACCCTTCAGCGGCTAAGCCACAATGATGCTGAGGATGCTGGCCCAGGGGCCCTCCATCTGGCCTAAGACCTCCAAATTTTCCCCAACAACACTCGATGTCTTCCAGCTTGCTTTCCGTCATCCTTTGATGACTCTGATGGAAGCTGGCACCACAAGCTTCTGGCCTTTCCCGCCCTGGAATTCCCACTGCTGCTTTGGCCCTTTTTGATATGATACACATGATATCGACTTCGAGAATGGTGTTCAGGGACGCCTGCGTAAGCTGACAAAACCGGGTGCAAAATGTTTGAAGATGCTCGTCTGTTTGTCATGCCTAGCTCACTAATCATGCACCATGCCATCATTTCCCGAGAAGGTCAAACTCAAGTACTAGTGTAACAGCCAGCTCCTTCGTCTCCGGGCATGCGCAGCACATCTTCATTGTTGGCTTTTTGGCGACCGGCGGAGCCTGATCAGTGGGGATTGAGGAAGACACATTGATGGTGACCAGGTATTCATGCCAGGTGAGCAGCCTCTGCCGCTTTGGAACCGGACGACCCCATGCGTACTGCTGATGGCCCTACAAAGGCGAAAATTGACCTACATGACCATACCACTGCCTTCCTTGGGCCTCGAAAATCCGAAGTGCAGGCATTGTCACGACTTTTGGCAGGTGAACAAGCTCACAAATCGTGTTCGGGCACGTCCACAGGTTAAGTTTCGTGCAGGAACATGTACAACCCCTGCTCACCGTCATGGTCGTCAAAGGAGGGGCTGGAAGCCGCAGTATTACTTGCACTGGTGCTTTTGCATGTTTTCCTGCGTCCTCGCGTGTTGCATAGCTGCCTTTGCCAAAGCACGACGGTTGCGAGCCTGTTAGATGCTCCTACTGTTCCATCATAAGATCCCTTTCGTAGCGCCATCTGCATGCTTTGAGGCAGCTCGTTCGAGCGAGCGCCCGACACCACCTGAAATTCACGTGTGGATAAACTCAGTTGCTACCCGACCGCTGACCTTCGCGAGCCGTGCGGAGACCGCAGGTGCAATGGGATGCATGTCAATGTTGTTCCGCGAATGGATTAAGGTCATGTCCACTCCCTCTGAACTTGGTCGATTGCGGCCACAACGCGCGCTGGTTGGCCCTTGTGGCGGACGAGGGAAGCTGAATGAAGCAAGAGGCCAGGACTTGCAAATGCGCAGCCTGCAGAATTACATCTTACCTTAAAGTTTTAGAGTCCTCGAGCAACCTATCCAACCTGACCCCAGGGCTTGCTTCTTTCGGAGCCTTTGAGGTTTCCATGCCCGCTATACCATATAAGAAGAACTCTTGCAGTTTCTGCTTTCCCACTTTGCTGCTCAACCTTTGGCAACAAGCAGTGACCTTTGGGATCCTTTGGGGTTTCCAATGGTTTGCACCATCTGCGCATGTTTGAACATGCGGGCATGCCGCAATCGACTTGCGCGCCGAAAACATGCCGCGTTGTGCAACTGAAGTACGGATCTTTGGGAGTGTCGAATCTGTCCATGGTAACAAAACAAGCTCTCCAACATTGTTTGCATCTACTCCTCAGATCTCCTCAGAGCACGGGGCATATGTTGGTAGCTGGCAGAAGCTGCCTTGGATCAAAAGAACCAGCGTCTTAGCCTTTACCCTTATCCAAAAACCAGCAGGTCAAATCGAACATGCATCGGCAGATAGGAGCACAGCTATGCTCTCAAGAGATAGGAATAGTTGTGAGCTGCCATGCTTTGGTGTGTTTGCCTTTTTTTGTTCCGCCACATCTGCAATGTTTCATTTTTCGGTAGCTCTGCGGCCATCTTGACCTGCACAAGATCCAAAGGGAGCCAACACCACCAGCCGCAGACAATTGGCCATTCCTGCCTGCGCTATCACGGCCAGCCATCATGTTTACCTGCATCGACATGGCAAGAGGCCAAACTGCTAATCTGGGAGTGTAGCCGGCCTCGGAGCCAGCAAGCTACAATCGTCGATCCTCGCAATCTAGTACAGCAGCCCATCTTCTTGTGAGGACTCGGGGCTGTCATTGAGCTCCCACGCATCCTCCAGCAAAGAATCTCTTCGAAAGCACCGCCAACGCTCACAGAAGGAACAGCGAAGTGACATCGTCTGTGCCTCAAACCCTGGAGCTCCCAGGCTGAAAGGAACATCCTCTGCTACGTATTCGGATTCGTCTGCGAAATCGTCTTCGGCAAATTCATCTTCGGCGAAATCGTCCGCCTCGTCGAACTCCTCATGTTCTGTAAATCTTAATTAGCTTGGGAAGATACGGCTTGTGGCAAGGGTTGCAGTCAATCACAGTCCTCCTCTTCTAAAAAGTTGGAAGCAAGGTCTATGCTGGTGTCCTGTTTACTCCACAACCAATTCGGAAGCAAGGCAACGATGCCATGCGCAACGAACCAAGAAGCCAACAAAGTCAGCATGTCCTCAGTGGAGAATTCGTTGTCTTCTCTGAATTCCTCAAAGATCTCGCGCTCAGTCCTGGCGAGAATTGCTGGACACGGATACGTTTGTCTTTCAGAAGCTCCACAAGATTTGGAATCCGCTTAGTCCTTGCAACCCAACTGTCTGTTTCTTCATCTGGCTCTGCTGCTTCCTCGAGCCACTCGTCCACGTGCGGCACATAAGGACTCCAATGTGCCTGGGACTGATCAGCGCTGCTTGCAGAGGGCGTGAAAAACTTCTGCAACTGGAACTGACATGATCCTTGGCTCCACGCTTTTTCTGCTTCTGACTTTTCGCGGTCCCGCTGCTGTTCCAGCGTCATGCCTTCATCGCCAAATCTATACCAGCTCTGGTATGTTAAATATACAGAGCCATTCCTGAGTTTTGGGCGTTCTTCCTTTTCGTCCAGGCCTTTGACAAAGTTTGCACCAGTCATCCTGGCTGCCCGCACCTGATCCATGTCACTGCTGCTGGACAGGCAAAGCATGAAACTGCACCCAAGCCTTGTCAGCCATTTTGACAGAGGGCGGCCTGTTTCCCACTAATGTGATCTGCCGCTGGTACTTGATCTGTCAGGGCGCGCGCACAAAATTGTCACAAGTTATGAGGCCACTTTCATATATCTAGTCATTGGACATTAGACTAACCATGCATACCAATTGCAAAAGCACACTCAAGAGGCAGCGCGCCACACCTTCTCAACCCACAGCTCAAGCTGGGCGCCGCGGGTAAATGCTGTCCAAGCGTACTTGTGAAGTCTGTCCCACTTGTAGAAACCATACCTCAATCAATCAAGCAGTCAGTTGCCAAGTCACTCGGTAGTCATGGTGCAAGATAGCCCAGGTGGCTGACTCGTTTCTCTCTCTTGGATGTTCTCGCACATGAAGCCGCGCCAAGCAGTCGCAGCCAATGTCGACCAGGGCCCATTTGTCCCAAACTCGGCGCACGATGCCAGTCACCTGTATGGTTGGAGAGTGACACTTGTCTTTGCAGTACTGCAGCCGTTCGCCTTCATCCCTTCCTCGATGTCATGAATGCTGTAGGGTCTGGGCTTGCCCATGAACAGCTCAGGCAAGTCCTCGCAAACTGCAGGTGCTGTGTACCACTTAGACTGGGATGCGAACGCAAATGTGAGGGTTGGCACTGATTCGCAAATGAGGGCATCTCCTCTTCGATTCGCATCGACACTCTCAGCAAACCGGTGGCCGGAACACATTCCACAACGCGCACTCGCACACTTTCCCCGAGGTGCAGAAAATTCATGATCTTGTCCTGGCATTTAGATCTTCATTTGAGGCATTCCAGTTCACGGGCTGGGTGTTCCACTGGCGTGCCTGGCGCACATAGCCACCGTCATCTTTGATTTGGCCCATGTGCAGGAAGCCGTCGATCCACTCGCCACTCTCGCTGTAAGCTCCCACATCTACCATGACTCCCTTGTCATGCGTGGCTGACACCCGTCCCTGTCAAGGGAGAACTGGCGACAGTTCAGATGCACTCGTCATGCATGCATGAAAGGGGCCTCCAACCACATGCCGGCACGCAGCTCGCTTATGTGGTATTGCCTGGCATGTCGAAACCGTTTAAAACTCCAGGGCCCCTGCCCTTCCCCGAAGCACATCCAAACACGCTTGACTGGCGGCTGCAAGCGGAAGCCACCAAGTTCAAGCTCCATCTTTTTGAAGTCTCGGAACTGCTGTGCCTGACAGCATTCATCACAGCGGCTGATATCCCTTCGAAGTGATGTGACCCGATGTGAAGCTAAGGCTGTTGCTATGACTTGCTCCTTCATTCTTGCTTGAGCTCGGCGTACCTGTGGTCACGAGCAAATGATGTGTTGCACCTTCAGGCCGGTGTGCGGAGTCAGAGCCTCTGTCCAAGATAGATCAGGATCTGGCGCGAGCTGCCGCTCCATGTACCTGGTTTGCGGCGATCGCAGGTTCTTGGAATACGCATTAGAGACACAGGAGTCATCCAGCGTGGTTTCATCAAAGTCTCCAAGTCACGCTTCCGAACGACACACTCAACCCAGGGTGCATCAGTTCCATCTCAATCATGTTTAACTTGAATTCCACCGCACTAGGTTGCATGCGTGCGAGACGCCTGGAGGTTTTGAGGTGGGTGAATGTGTTTATTTCCATGGTTTCGGCGCGATTTAGCCGAATATTGTGGTTTTTCAAGTTAGGCAAAACTATACGTTTCAGGACAACATTCCTGAGACAGGAGGCATGACCGTATGCTCTCGAAACACGAACGTTGTTATGGTTTGGGCATGGATGCACTGGTAACCGTATGTGCTCGAAACACGAAAGTTATTGTGGTTTGGGCATGGATGCACTGGTAACCGTATGCTCTCGAAACACAAACGTTGTTATGGTTTGTGCATGGATGCACTGGTAAAAGTATGCTCTCGAAACACGAACGTTATGATGGTTTGGGCGCGTGTCTAACCCTAATCAAAAACCAACGAAAGCGCCCTCCTTGCGTGCGTGCTACCAACTATTAGCCGCGATGTTTGTGGACAGCTTTCAATGTCCGAGAAGCATCTCGTCAGACAACTGCCACAGCGGCAATCGCCTGGCAGCTTTCTGCATTCTCCAGGGGAAACTTTATGAAGTGAAAGGCTGGGTCTGTGGCTTTGTAGCAACAACCTCCTTTTCCCTTACAAGGGGGAGCTGCCGCCGCCGCACCTCTCTGGACACAGACGCCGCTGGCCGCTGGCTAAGCAAAGCTAAGAAACTGAGCTCGGCCTGCAGACTTACGCGGCTGCGCCGTAGCAGTCTCTTGCACGAAGCCTGGGCTAGCGGGAAGCAAGAGTTGCTCTGAGGTTAACGATGCAGTTGAAGCCGAGCGACTCCCAGCACCGCCCCACCGAAGCCGCAAAGTGATAACCTGGTTCTCCATGGCTGATCATCTAGCCGAGAGCGTGGAACCAAATCCTGGAGGACACAATCTGAATCAAACAAATCCAAGAACTCTCTCCACGCTTTGGCCACTTGGCTGAATTTCCGCTCCTGACTCACTTGGCAGCTCTGGCCACAGGGCCTGGCGTAAGGCTGTGTAAGGCTCGCAGGCAGTGCTTTGCGAACTAAGCTAGTCTGAAAGGGCACGTGGTTCCACAAGCTTTCTCCTGAGTCCTTGACGTCGTTCGCAACAGCGGCGCTGCTGTTGGAAAAGCTTCCATCCTAAAGCCGGAAAGTAAGCCTGGCCACGAATGGCTGCGTATGCAAGGACCATGTCCGAATTTGAACATGTGCAAGATGGCATGTTGCATTCGTTCACATGATGCCGCACGGCTGCGAACATCTGAAGCATTTTGGGGCATTCCGCGCAGTCGATTTGGTGGACTTCGCCACGGTCTTTGGTGAAACTCGACTTTCGAACCGCAATACTCGACGTGTTCAAGCGGAACGCCATCCAATCAAGGCCTCGATTGTCTGTCACATGCGAAAGCTCTGCTCGTGCTTGCGTGTCCGGTTTCGAGGCTAGAGCTGTCTTCTCCAGGTCTGCTAGGGCATCCATGCTCGGAATCGGCAGGGATCCCAACATGTCAGTCACTAGTCTTGCACAAGGCAACCAGAATGTGACACACGTCTGGTTGTCAAGTAGGGAAGACCTGTCAAAGTTGAGCACTAAGAAACCTGCAAGCAGATGCAATATCAACTCTCAGCAACACATTGACATGAAGGCTCAAGAGACTGGACGAAAGCATCGCTTCCAACGGAACCAAACAATCATTCATCAAGCCAGCAGCTAGGAAGAAGAGAGCTTCCTGCAAATGGCGTACGCCTACTCTGGATCTGTATCTCACAACAACAAAGACTCATCAGCCTGCATCACTTGCTGGATCGGGATGGATGAGCTCGGACCCACGCAACTTTGGACTTTGATCGAGGTGCCCGTTTTGTTAAGCAAGAGATGAATTGCCAAGAGAATCAATCGTCTCGGTCTAAGCCTGCCTTTTGGCTCAGGCTCTACACAATGTGCTGCTGCCCTGCCTCCACGCTGGAAGAGATGCAGAAAAAAGCCTTTTCTGTGAAACCTTCGGCTCTTTCAACGCAGACGTACGGGACAACATCCCAAACGGAAAATGGTCTGTCAGGAACGCAATTGATTCCTGAGACTTCAAAACTTGTGTGCTTGACCGCACTAGCCTATGAGATGACACTCTTGCCAAGACTGCAAGGTCCAAAATTCACGCCCTTGTCGTTCGGTGCTCCATTTCTGGTACAGCGCATCTATGAGCATCAGTGCCTGAGACGAAGCAATCAAGGGCAGCTCTTGTCAAGCTAGATTGGGATTCGCTTCTACACAGAACGGACCATGGCCTGGCGTATGTTGACTATCAAGGTGGCTCCAGACTCTAAGGCTTTCCTGCAAGTTTCAAAGTACCACCAACAAAGACACCATTCGAGGTTCCACAGCGAGAGAAGGTCGCACCTTCGAAGGAAGTAACCGGCGGTGGCGCCACCAGAACTGGCAGAGACTACGGCTCTGAGTCGCGCGGAATGGCATTCAGTCTGATTCTCTGTAGCGCAACAGGCCAGGAGCACTCTCGCGAAGATGGTGTACACACAACTATTCGGACTGTCTGGTCCTGTCCATCTTCAGCATGGACCGGGAACGACTGCCTTTTCATCCCAGCAACGACACCGGTTCTTCCAAATGATTGTTAAGGAACCTGAAGGTCCACAGCCACAACAGCTAAACTTCTCAAGCATTGAATGGATGGAGGGTTGTGAAAACGTTTTTTGCAAGGAAGAGGCATGGACCTAGCGATGACGCTCTGTAGTACCAACGCCAGCTGAACAATTCTCGCCAGAATTGTTCAAAGGAAGCAGCTCTAAATCCTTTATAACCAAAACCGACCGCAGACTCGGATCCTGCAACCGCAACCCCCACCCTCAGCACAAGCCGCAGCAACTGGCACCGGCACCGGCACCAGCACCACCGCCGAACCTGATGTACACCAGTGGCCTGCAGGCCCCAAGACCCGGCGATACAAAAAGGAAGTTATGTGTTCATAATTTGATGACATGCGCCATGCATGACAATGTGTTGCTTGGACAACCCGTGTCCACAATCGCAGAAGTCACATTGGGCTTCTTCTGCGTGACCTGCAGCGCGGCGGGGCAACTGTTTCCATCGATACAGTACCCCCCAACCCTCTGGGTTGGCTGCAGCATTGCCGAGCACGGTGATGGGAATCTCGGAGCCCTTCCGCTTTGGCTGCTGCGCCTCCACATGTTTGAAGTTGAAGACTAGCTTAACGTAGAAGATATCAAGATAGCGCTGCCCGAAATCCACATGCTATCAAACAACTAACCCGAAATCACCCATCTGTGCACCCAAGATTCATGGATCAACTTGGATGCTGGGAGCTTTGACCGCAAAGCAAGCTGCAAGAAAGTGCCCGCCAAGTCGCCTGAATGAAAGACGCTGTCCCGCTAGTAGCGTACAGCCTTAAGGAGAGTCTGCGGAATGCCGGCGTGAGCTGTCAAGGCTTCTGACAGCAGCTTTCCGAGGGTGGAACTTGTATCCCATCTCGTCAAGCAAAGGCAAGTACTCGAGAATTGCCATCTTGTCCTCCTGCAACTCGTCAACAAACAAAGCTGCATTGCATCACAACCAAGTGACTGCGGGGTTCGCAGGAAAGCGCTTGCCACACATACGAGCCAGGACTAGCAGAGCATCTAAGGTCCTGTGGGCCCAAAGACAGAAGGAACCTGGCATGTGCAAGTCATTGAGATGGTTACAGACTCGATGACAGCCCGCTGTGCAACGGGTATCGTAGCATGCACCACAATGCTTGCCAGGTGTGCCCGCACGGATCGAACTTGATCTTGATGCCACTTGCAATTATGGACTTCAGGAAGGCCTCTACACAGGAGTTGAGTAGAGAGTGTGTGGTTGGAAGTCTGGAAGTTCTCAGGCAACTGTGTCAGCACCTCGTGCGCATCATGCCCGAAGCAGGCCACCTGCGAATCAAGTGTGTCAGAGATTGCCCGAGAACAGACAAGCGGAACTAGTGACCAAAGATGCGGCTCGCAGGCGCCTCGCCGGTGCTCTGCATCTCAACTCCCACACGAGGATCGGAGCCACTAAGACGTAGGAAGGAAAACATCGGCGCCTGAACGAAGGTTCTGATCCCTGCGCATTGCGTTCTGATCTCGGCAGGCATAAAGATGCCTTGCACGCGACAAAATCAAAGTCGTTCACGTGCACCTTTGTCGGTTTGACTTCCTGCACCACATTGTTCCCAGGCCACCGATTGAAAGTCACAAATCACGGCCAGACTATGCAATCTGCTACATCCGATATTCCTCTCCAACTTAGCAAGCTCGTGTGATCTGCTGTGGTACCGGATCTGTGTCCTGGCCCAGCATAACGCGAGTGGCCAGCTCAATAAAGTTGATGTTGAAGGTTTTCGACACAAACGGTACCTGCGAACGCGTTGGGATCTACAAGAAATGCTGCAAATGTCAGTCAGTCGGGGCGCTGTCCGCGACGCCCGGACGTTGCACTCGATGACTTTCACAGCTCGCATAGACCGGCTACCACCTTCCTGCATTCCGGCAAATTCAAGAAGGTGCAGCTTTTTGCCCACATGCCCCATCTCAGGCGGTTCTACGCAGAAACATAAGACACGCTGTTGACTGAACTGCTCCGCTGACTCGTGTACCTGTGACATGAACTGCACGTTGAAGGGGCCAGAAATGTTCAGGGCCTTGCACCTGAAGCGCGCGGAAGGTGTTCAATGGTAGAAGTGCATCGAAAGAAGCCGTGAGATTTCCGCCAGGCCACAGCTGTGCGGAGATCTGCATGACTCGCCGATGCGTTTCTAAATGGAGACGCTGCGAAGGCAGCAGCAATGTAGCATCTCCACTGTGTGTTCCAGCGTCCTACACACACGGGTTAAGACGGGTTGCGGCTGGTGACCAAGCTTTGCAAGATATGCCTGCCTCTACATGCTCGGAGATCGCGTAGTTGATGATCTCTCCCATGCAGCCAACGCCGTCAAACTCAATCTCCCTGGCTTTGGAAGCTCAACCTACTTCATGGTACTGTCCATCACATCTTCACATGAACCAGCCTGGCTCCCTCTATGTACTTGGAGATGACCACTGGGAACTCTTGTTCGACCTAAGACTGGCGGAGGGCAAGCCATGGCCAGGAAAGGCACACACAGCAGCCACCCATGAGCATTTTTTAGTCATGCAAGGACAGGCAGCTGATAGCACATATCGTGCGCGCAAGACAGGGCCAGGACTTGGACATGTTGGACGGTCCATGCAGACAAAAAAAGTTGATGGGATTGGCAGTGATGGTGACGACGGCGAGCCGAATCAAAGTGCATTGTCTAACAGGTACGGGCGTGACAACCATGATTGGCGGTGAGGGAACAAAAACTGATGATGGTGGTATTGTTGTTGATGATCATGATGCTGGGTGTTGTTGGTGTTGGTGTTAATGTTTGTCTTAATGTTTATGTTGGCGTTGGTGTGGGTGCAGATGTTGGAGTTGGTGTCAATGTCTGTGTGAATGCTAATGTTGGTGTTGGTATTAGTGTTGGTGCTGTTGTTGTTGCTGCTACTGCTGCTGTTGGTGGTGTTTTTTGGTGTTGGTGGCGGCGGCGGCGTTGGCGTTGGCGGTGGCGGTCTTGGTCTTTGGTACTTGTGGTTGTGGTGGTGGTGGCGACGGTGATGGCGATGACGACGTTTTTGCAACCGCCGTTGTCGGAGCAATCCTGCGCCAATGCGCCAGAACTTGCACGTGGAGTTTGGTGCCCATGTCACCGGAACGTGAAAGTCGCACCCGACAAAGATCCCCAACCCTGAACAGCAACCCTAGGTGTAGAATTTGTCATTTGTCGTCGTGCAGCAACCTAACAACAGTTTTGCGCACCAAAAAATGGCCAGCCAAACACACAACGCCTCCAGGTGCTTCCCAACAAGTTGTTGTCCAGTAAGCTGGACGAATAGGGCATAGGGGACTTGATGGGCCAAGCCTGCATCTTAATTAAAACACAGTTCCCAAGGGCTGTCTGCAGCTCAAGGGGCGGATTTGAGATCAAAACGGGGTACATGTTCCCACGCAGCACAAAGTCAGCTCATTTTATGCTGGATGTACGTGCGGGCAGGGGATTAAAAAAAAAAAAAAAAGTAACCTCAAACATAACCAAAAAATGAAAAACAAAAATACGTTGACAAAAGGCGGTGTTCAAACGGCTCGGCCCGTGCATGCAGCAGTGTAGGATAGTGTAGGGAGCAGCCCCTCACACCAGGAAGGCGTTGAAAAAATCCAGCATGTGTGTGCCCTGGATTAACGGGACGAGCCTCACTTCCTAGAAACGCTGAAGAGCCAGCTCATGCCTTGTACGTTGGGCAATGACACAATCGATGCCGATTCACACCGTGGAGAACTTGTTGAGTTTGGCCATGACAAATCTGCACTTTTCGACAATAAGCAGTGAAAACGACAGTTCTGCACTTCGCGGAAAGTACCAGAACGGGACTGTGGCAAGTGCGTGATCAGGACGCCAAATTGAGAGAACGCTCCATGCAGGAGCGAATCGCGCGCTAGAATTGTGCCAAGAGAGACGACGGTTCTGCACTTTACGAAGATGAGCCGTCCACAGTTCTGCACTTTGTAGTAAGCACGACCACGGGACTGTGGCGGCAGCGCGATCAGGATGTCAAAGCAAGGACTTTCTAGACCAGAACACAATTGGGAACTACCCGCCCAAGGACAGTGCTCGTTGCGAGCCGAAAATTGTGCCAGAGCGACGACAAGTCTGCCATTTAGGTACACAGGCCTCGCACATGGTGATCGAACATGCCAACATAATGATGACATGTTGTGCTGCCCGGGCCAACATCTTGGAAGACACCCGGCCTTGCAAGCAACCTTTGCAATCATTGTTTGCGACGTTAAGCTTGCACAAACAAAGAAAAGCAAAGAAAGAAAAACAAACAAAACGGGTGGGTTGCGGGCCCAACCAGCTTCATGCAGAGGAATTGGGAGGGGGCATTTGCAAACAATGACCAAATGTCCCGCTGATAGCGCCAACCTCTTGAAAAAGAAACGCTGTTGGCCGGGGGGGGGGAAGGGAAGGGGGCGGAGAACCCGTTTGCGAACAGAATGATGAGACAACATGTTTTCCAGACGAGACGCGTCAAGATACACGCAACCAGCATTTGGCAACATGATGATGGGGTGCTGCTCCTTGTTAGGCAAGCTTGAAAAAACACATACTTACAGGCAAACGTGGTCAACATGTTAATCGAACGATACCCTCTGAGAGGTATGCGCGGCTTGAAAACGCCGGGGCGTTGGGCGGGGCGGAGCAACCCGCCGTAACATAATGATCAAATGTCATGCGGATTGCAGGAGCACTTTGAAAAAGAAGGGGGTTGAGTACAACACACAGTACCTGAAGGCTACGAGCACAATAAGTTTACAGCTTCAGTAGGGCTTCAAACACGCCACTCTTTCAAATAGCGCGGGGTAAGGGTGGTCGCAGACCCCCGATTTGCAAAAATGGACGAAGATCGTTTGTCGCTCACACAGGTCCATACTGGTCCGCGCCTACCGCTCGTTAGCCCTGGAGACACAAAAACAAGTAGGGGGCTGACTGCTTCTTTCACGAGTGGCTGGAGTTCAGACGGTCGAGTCCAGACAGACCACAGCGGAACAGAGACCTGTGTTCTCACCTCCTCAGAAGACGAGGAGCACAACAAGCACACACTAGACTTTTGAGGGGGAGAAGTCCTACGTGCATGATCAAATATTGACGTACAGGGATACCCCGCAGAACGCAACTCAAGACAGAGCAGAAACAGACTGAAGCAGGTCCACGCCCGTGCTCAATCCGCATTGAGTGCAAAATTGACGCTGGAGGTCACAAAGATGACGAGTGACGAATAATCTGTGAAGTGCAGCATTTCCGTTGCCTGTGTAGCAAAAACAAGCTGGTTTAAACGTCACATTCGGACATGTACCTTCTTACACACCTCTGAGAGAATTTCTCGGTATTTCAGTTACATTACAAAACGGCGGGGGCGTACTCCAAACTGCTGCAGTCACATCAACATCGGTTGGCACGTGGAATCCCCAAGGAGCGGCGCCCGTCAACCAACACAGAAAGTCACCTGAATATGCTTCCCTCAAGTGAACGCTCCACATTTTAAAGAAAAGTTTAATAGCGAGGACGGAGCATCTTACGAATCCCAATGTAAACGCTAGTCACATCATATCCCCGCAATGGTTGTTAGCAGGTGTTGATGCAGCAGCTTGTGGGCAAGTTTCGCAGTGAAACGCGGTAATGTCATGATCGCTTGCGGTTGGATTTTTGAAGCTATGTTGAGTTCAAACCTTTTTCCTTGCCAATACCCCTTACCGATACCCTGCCGATACCCCTTCGTACAGAGAAAAATGGCTGGGTGGACCACTGACCATCGCATCCTCGTGTGCTTACTCAACATGGGACGCCCACATGACCTTGCATTCAATTTTGCAAACCCAGCACAGCAAGCAGGATCAGGCGCACGGCTTTCGGGTGGTTCTCAATTGATAGCGACGTTCCGTGTTTGTGTGCTGCACATGATGCCATACAAATGCCATGTGAACGCCTGCTACATCACGACCAGGCTTTCAATGATTCTAGCTTGATTGCTATTGATTCGAAAGATTTTCCGCTTGAATTCCCTTGTAAATCAGTAAGAACTACACCGTGGTTGTAAATAGACCTGAGAAGTTAACCCCCAGACCCCCTTCAAACGCTGTGTTGATATGACTTCTTTGGGAGCACTCGCCCTCTTAAGGCAAACATTAACACAACAGAGACGACTTCAACAGATTGGAGTAGGGGGCACCGCCTCATTTGCGAAACATGGGTGAAATCAGAACTTGCAGCTTCTTGCATGGCATTGATAGGATTTCTTGACCTTGCGCCTGCATGACAAGAATCTAGCGGGGAATAACGGGGGGGCTGGCGTGAGCGCAGCTCTACCCAGTTTGCAAGCATGGAACAGGATCAGGGCATGTAGTTTCTTAGATAATATTTCCTCTTTGTATGTAAAATGGCCGGTGGGTTGGGGGGGGTGCTCAGGCCCCCTCTCCATTTGCAAAACGCGGATGACGATCACAATTTAGCAGGGTGTTGGGGCCCCAGTTGGGGCCATCAGCAAGACCCGGACGCCGATCACAACATGTAGCCTCTTGCACACCTCTGATTACTTTTTTTGCACGAGCATCACGCATGACCAAGTACAGAACATGTAATTTCCTTCACCGCACATTTTTGTTAAAATCTATTGGTATCGCGCCTGGCTGGATACAAAATTGCGAGGTGTCCAGGGGGCCCCCCATCTGTGCAGCGTGGACGAAGATCAAAACATGTACCCTCGCGAGCAGCAAAACAAGCGGATGAGCCCGCCCGCGATCACAATAATATTTGCAGCTAGTTTGTCCACGCGGCGCCAAAAAATCATGTAGGACGAGAATCAAGAACCCCAAAAACAATTCAGTGCAAGCTTAACGCGAGTCGAGAGCAGGGTTCTTAGAGCCGATCAGCTGATCCCTGCCACAATTTTTTCTCTTCAGGCCTCAGAAAACCCAAAAAGCGACACGTCCCAAGTGAGTTCGTTGTTTCCTTCCTAAACGAGCTCCCACCCCCTTTTCATTGGATTTATTTACATTTACATTGGAAAAAATGAAAACACGCAGCTTTTTACACAGTTTTCACCGGCGCGCTGGCGTTACAAAACAGCAGCAGGTTTGGTGGGGGCACCCCGCCCCAGTTGCAAAACATGGCCGAAGATCAGGACATGCGCGATAAGATTTCGTAGCAACGCATTTGCATTACAATGCCGGGGTTTACATGTCTGTAGCCTTTCAACATTCTCAAACACGCTCACCTGTTTGCAGCCCTTTTCAAAATTCCAACTGCTGTCCTGTACCGGAATTGCAGCCAGCCTTACCATCGTCCAAACGCTGTTATTTCAAACGCTGTTATTTCAAGAAATATTACCCTTCCACGCGCGGCAAATGCATGCAATACTCATAGCCTTTCAAGAGCCCCAAATGCTGTACTTTGCAATACTTTTAGCTGCAAATTCGGTAATGCACATTATTTGTAGCCGTTCAAGAGCTCCAAATGCTGTAATTGTGTTCGTAGCCTTTGAAAACCCACAAATGCTGTTGTTTGCAGCACGCGTGGGACCAGGGCACCACAGGACCCTGAGGCCAGGGCCAACTGGACAAACCCAGCCTTGGCCAAACCTTTAAAAAAAATTGCTCATCCGACACCCCGAACATAAACACACTTCTGCTGCGAAAAACCTACGGCTATGTCACCCGACACGGCCACACCATGTCCGGGAGCTACACCCCCACCCCAAACCAATCCTAACCCCTACGCCACTCCGCACGCCACGCTATGTACTTACAGTACTTAGGACTTAGGCCAGTCGGGTACCCGACAGGGTTGTCAAGTGCAGGCTCACAACATCATGGCCGGAGCGAAAGCACACCATCAGGGCGCAGTGGCACGCAGGGACATCATGGGCGATGATGTAACAGCGGGGGTGGGAGTGGGATAATAATAGCAAAACATAGCAAACCAAGGTAGAACTGCAACTCATAACCAGTGGTTGTATTGTGGGAAAATTAAAGCATGCTGTAGTCATGTACCAGACATCAGTCCTGATCCCACCCTCCCTCAATGTCCCCGGCTCCGCGCCAAAATTAGGTTCCCCAGGGCCATGAAACCAATGCTACATTGCTTTCGTCCGATGCCACTACTGCCACAGCAAGACTAGGCTTTCAGTTCAAAGCTGCAGCTAGCATCTCAAGCGAACACGGGCAAACGGTTGAGACACAGGACCACAGCAGAGGTGCCGAGGAAGTTCTTCAGTTGCTCCTACGCGAGCGCATCAAGCAGAGCTGGAAACCGCAAGAACGCTTGACCCGGTCTTGCAGGGTCCTCGTTGTCGATGACACGCATTGCTGCACCAGACAGAACGTAGGACGGACGCACGAGCACGGGAAAGCCCACGCTATTGGCGAAGAAGAGCGCCTCCTGTGCAACATTGTCCGGCTGAGGCTGCCAGCAAGCAAAAAGCTTTGTCAGGAGCAACGAAGAGCAGCTGCTTCACAAGATGAACGTGAAACGGAAATTCAAGCTTAACTTGGAATGCTCTGCTCCTCCAGTTTGACGAACTCAGACCACTGAGGCTGGTCTATGTCAAGCTCATCACACATGCTGGAGAACTTCGACCGGTCCTGCTGGAATGGCATGCGTCGCGTGCACATGGGCAGGACAATGCAAAGGAGGATCCTCAGCACGATCGATGTTCTGTGCTGATGTCCCAAGTATTCTGATTCCCAGCTTGTCCAGCTTGGGCGCCAAATTGTTGGGCCTGCTGCGCAGATGTTGTGTGTGTTCAGGAGTCTCCGCAGTACCCTGCAACATGTGCAAAATTGTGATTTCAACAGGCAAGTACCACGTCTGGCCGCCGACTGACACAATGGTACCTATGCAAGGACATTTGCGATTCTGCCGGATGACAAAGTTTTCAGGTCCGCGCCATTTGGCTGCTCAAAATTGCAGATCTCGCTGACGGTCTCAAGCGTCAGCTCCTGGATGAAAGGCGGCTGAGATTAAACGTGCATTCTGGTAGTGGATACGGCGCTCCACAGATGATCGAGGCGTCCTCGAAGTACAAACGATCGCTTTCATCGTAGTCTGTGGAAACTGTTTCAGGGTTGCAGTTGATCACCTGGGGCTCAGTGCCACAGGGGCTGGCATGCAAAGGAACGTTGCAGGACTTCCTCAAAATCATTTGCACCAAGTCACCATGGCTCGATGTCCCGTCTCACGCAAGGTCCTGCATCAACCAGCTTTGACGCAGTGCCTGGTCTAGCATGTGTCCCGCTCTCCCAGAGCAGATCCTGACTGCGGAGACAGAGCCCCAGTCAAACTCCACTGACGCTCCGATGCGGTAGCAACCGGATCCCAGTACCTTGCGTGAGACATAGCGAGTTGTCGACTTAAACCTCATTAGACTCATTATCATTTGACCTTTGCTGATACCAACGCCTACATGATGCAAGCATGTGCAAACAAGCTCTTATGTTGAAACTGGTAAATTGATCTTTCACAATACAGCTCTTTTCGTGCCATCATATGGATCACGCCTTGTGGGGCTTTGAACTTCTTGCTAGCAATCATGACTTGCCCCAGCTAACAACAGGCAAGGGACGATAAAAGCTGCTTTGTCCTGCTTGTCTGCGCCCAGGTCAAGCGGAGGAGGTTGTTCCTTTAGTCACGCCCAGGGTTCTCTTCAGTACATTTACCTTCACCCCAACTTGCAGGCCTCCTTGGTTTGTACACTCTTCAGGAGAGGGCTCCACCCTCTCGCGACTGGAGATGATTGTGTTTTCGCGAGCTTTCGGCTCGGCAAGCCGAAGCCAGACTCCTGTGATGCCGGAGCTCACGGGGCATCACCCTAAACCCTAAACCCTAAACCGCCTCAGGGTTTAGGGTTTAGGTTTAAGCAATCTTGCAGTACGGCTTCCGAAAACCCACCTCGTCCAGCTTGCCTTTCCCAAATGCACTGTCGTACAATGAATCCTGGACAAGCGAATAGCATCTTTTTGTTTTATGCGCAATGCGTCCAGCCACTCGGACCTTGTGGGGCGCCAACGTCTCGCTTTTCAGCGGAGGCACATCATGCTGGTTGCCGCCGTAGGTGAGGTACAAATAGTTCCTGGCCAGGTCGCTACGGCATCAGGCAGCGCATGAGTCGGCAAAACCTGCAGGGTAGACGTTTTGGCAGGGAACTCTGCTGCCAACGTATCAACCTGCTTCACGCAAGGCCTCAGCTTATCCGCGGCTTCCTGTCTGCGCAAATGCCATGCTTCTGAGACCCTGGCCGGATACTCCAGGTATGGCGCAGCTTCATGATGGCTTCTTCTGTGTTGCCAACTGCTTTAGCAATTTGCCTCTCGCAGTGTTGGGATGTATCGCGGCTTGCTCACTCACACGTCTGTTCCATTTTTTGCCCCGTCCTGTCGCAGAAGCCAAGCTGCTTCACACGCCGCAGGAAATCTGGGCCGGCCTGGCAGTTCAAGTCTGCATGACAAATTGGGAAGTGCCATGCATAGCTTCCAGCACAAGATAGCATCACTTCGCCACCTTCTCCAAGGCACTGAGATTCGCCATACCTTCCATTCGCTTGCGGCCCTGATGCACCTGCAGAGCCAGCAGCACGTGGGGGCTGTTCTAAATTCCTTTTCCCGAAAACCCATCACTCGCCGCGCCTTTCGCGGAGCCTTCGCGGTCTTTCGCGCGCCAACTAAAACTTGGATTTTCGCAACCTGGTTTTCGTTTCA